CAGCGGGTCAGGGAATGGAGTGTTCTCTCTGTCCTTTTCTCCTCCCCCTTTTCTGTTGTGTTTTGCTTCCTCCGACCCTGTCCTGGTAAGAAGTGACAATCAGGGACTGGTACTGGGGGAGGCCTGGTCAGAGTGCTGGGCAGCAAGCCCGGAGAGCCGTCAGCTTCAGCGTCTCTGACAGGAGGGAGGGGTCGGGCATGGAATTCCAGCTGCTGGCCCCTGGGAGCAGCAGGGCAGGCCCGCGCGCCGTGTCTGGGGTCGCTGTTCACAGGCGGGCTGGGTGCTACCTGCAGTGATGTTACATACCTTGGATGTTTTCTGTGAAATTCTTAAAGTGGCTGATGGATTATGAATGACTTCCTAGCAGAAATATACATTAAAAAGAGAGGTTTATTTGATATGATGGCTCTTTTAGAGCCTAACTTCCTCCCTGACTCATCACATCATTGTTGCAAATGTAAATGTAGCAGTTACTTACATTGACTTTTTGAGCTTAAGCATAAACTACAAAGTTTTACTGGAAAATTGGAAGTAAATTAAAAAATTTTTTCTGTGTTTTTTTTTGTTTTCAGTTGGAGACTGTTGAAAAGGTCTATGAAATCTTTATCTCAGATGATATTGATCTTGTTTTGAGAAAGTCAGCTGCAGAGCAGTTAGCTGTGATCATGCAAGGTAATGTCGGTTTTATCCTTTTTTTTAATTGCAGTAGAGTCAGTTTAGTGTTGCGTCAGTTTCTTGTGTACAGCATCATGTTTCAGTCATACGAATACATACATGGACTCATTTTCATGTTCTTTTTCATTAGAGGTTTCAAATACTGAATATGGTTTCCTGTGCTATATATACAGAAGAAACTTGTTGTTTATCTGTTTTACATACAGCACAGTCTTTTAAGGAGAATGATCGCTGTGCCGCTAAGAATGGAGATTTGAATTGCTGTGTGTGGCGGCACCAGGGGCTGGCAAACGGTGGTTCGTTTGTAGACAGATCTGGCCTGCGGCTGGTAGTGTGTTTTTGTTTTTTTACGGCCTTCAAGCTAGGAATGATTTTTACATTTTTGACAAAGAGTATTTGACAAAGGCCGTATGTGGCCAGCAAAGCCTAACATAGTAACTGTCTAGTTCTTCACAGAAAAAGTTTGCTGACCACTGGTCTAGATTATCATTACTTGACTTGTAGAATGTCATTTGTTAAAGTTATCTTTCTTCTAAAACATTGATAGAATTCTAGCAGTAAATTGCATGTTCCTTTCTCAGTTTACCTAGTACATGATGTTTTCAGGTTGTTCCTTCTTGCTTAGAGAAATCAGTCACATTGTACTTTGTGGATAGGTAAAATAATAATAGTGCACTGTAACTATGTATTTTCTTTAAAGGTTTAGAAACAACTAATAAAATTTACTCTTAGTTTTGTTTGTAAGGTGGTTATTCCAAAGCCTTCCATTCTTTGGGTTAGTGTTTAATTTTCTTCTGTCTCTGATGTATGTAGTTTATCTTTAGTGTTTGAGAAAAATAACTTTGCATTTACATAAAAATATTTTTCCTAACTTGGAAGACGGGGTACGATGAATATTCCTATCCTGACGTCATCAGTGGAAACTAGGATGAGAGAGGAATTTGAAAAAGCACACTCAACATGTTTGTGGTTTTAATAACAATAATACAGACCATAGAAAATAAGGCTCTAGCAAATATGAGGAGCCTTGGCTAAGACAACTGAAAAAACGTTTGGAGAGTGTTCTTTCCAGTATTGTTTAACATTTCAAAAGTAAAGCTCATGGTTTTGTCATGCACCATATTGGAGGGTAGTGGAAGCCACCCAAAAAGTGGCAGCTAAAGATAGTTACAGTGACAGCTAGTTATTCAGTGTCAACTTTGTATGTGTATGTTTTTCTCAATGAGAATATAGGAAGACAAATCAAGAAAATCTGTCTGCACATTGTGAAGTACTTGTAACTAATCTATAAGAAGCTAGAGTGTTTGGCACTAGTAATATCTTGTGTGTGTGTGTGTGTGTGTGTGTGTTGTGTGTGTGTGTGTGTCTGTGGCTTAGTCTGATTGGGCTGCTATGATGAAATGCCATAGACTGAGCACAGACATTTATTCTCACAGTTCTGGGGGTGAGAAGTCCACGATGAAGGTGTCTAGTGAGGGCCTGCTTCTTGGTTCATGGGTGGCTGTCTTCTCCCTGTATTTTCACATGGAGAAGGGGCAGGGAAGCTCCCTGGGTCTTCTCTTTATAAGGACACTATCCTTTTCATGAAGACTCCACCTTCTTGACCCAGTCACCTCCCGGAGGCCCCACTTCTTAATTCCACCACATTGGAGATTAGGTTTCAAACATAGGAGTTTTGCAGGGATCCAGACCATGGCAGTGTATACACACACACACACGTATATGCTTATTAAAAAAGAGTTCATATTCTTTAGAAATAAATGAACTATGTTATAATACCTTTCCTTTATATTTGCTATTAACAGTTTGAGGATAGAGATCTTTGATGAATAGAGAAATGATCATGTTACAAGCCATATTTGCAGATTAGCTCATGGAGAATTCTAAACATTTTGAGATGGTGGATTTGGAAAAGAGAAGAAATGTCAATGAAACAACATAATTTGCCATGTACAAATAAAAGCATTCATTTGTATACTTAAAATTCTAGTACTTTTCAGAATCTGAACTAATTCATTTAGTTATTCTTTTTAAGCAGTGTTTCTTACAGTACAGAAGTAGGATGTGCTTATTAAACGTTTTTAAATTGTTCAGATGGGTATAAAGTAAGAAGTTTAATGTGTTATTGTCTAATTTTCAACACTAGGTGCAACTATTTTTAACAGAAAGTTGTGTGGATGTCTGTTCTGTATTTTTAAAACTATAGAAAATGTTCTTTAACTTTTAATAACTTTTTTTTTGGTCGACAGATATTAAAATGCATGCTGTGGTGAAAAAATTATGCTTAATCGACAAGATAATTGAGTACTTAAATGAATGTGTGGGTCAGGATGGTGAGGTGAGACATGTTTTTACAGATTGGTGCTTTAATTAATTAAATTTGAAATGAATTCAGCTGGATCTGGATGAGTACTTGGAGTTTCAATCCTGAGTAACACCCACGACCATGTTCACTTTTTAATTTCTAAAAATGAGTTCTCTAAAGGAAAACTAGCCTTAAAATTTCTATTAGGTGTATCAGCAGAAGTGTATACAAGACTTATTTTCAGTGGAAAATAGTTCTTAATATTTGCATTTTAGTTCCACACAATTTTGGCAAAGAACATGAAGTTTAGGATAAGATAGTGTTATAGTATATTTTACCTCACCTTAGAATTGATGAAAATAAGCAACTGTGTTTTTCCCTCCCGGCCAGGTCATAGAATGTTTAATACAGCCGAGCCTCACGCTCCTGAGGAAGGTGCTTTGTGCCGACCCGGTCTTGCGTGTGTCCCTCTCACAACAGTCTTCTCTCTTGACTTTGTTGCTCAGAGGTAAATAAAATAAGTTCTGCCAATAGTAAGCTCAGTCTTAAGCTTTACGTGTTTACTCTTTAACTGTAGGTAACATTTACTTTCCATTTTACTAACAGAATAACAAAGTTTATTAGTGAATATGCCACTAAAAAAACCCCATCACAATGGAAAATGTTTAACACTTTCGTGGAAAGTTTTTAAGTCTTTTTACTAAGTAGACCTCAGAGCTGAGGACGGCTGAAGTCCCCGATTGTTCTCACACCTTGATGGGGCCATCACGTGGTGCTCAGACGGTTACTGTTGCCTGTAAAGAGAGGAGGCTGCAGCCACTGGCTGTCACTGCTGCCTTCTTCCAGATGTTAACCTCATTCTTGTTTTGTTTGTGCATTCCGACCCTGATGCTCTGGTGTGACATCTGATTATGTCATTAAACTGACATTAAGAGTGTGTATGGGAGGGGAGGGTATAGCTCAAGTGGTACAATGCATGCTTAGCATGCAGGAGGTCCTGGGTTCAATCCCCAGTACCTCCATTAAAAAAAAATAAGTAAATAAATAAACCTAATTACCTCCCCTCTTGCAGAAAAAAAAGTGTATAGACCCAACTTGTCAGAAATGGGAATTAGACTGTCCTGAATGATTCTGAGCATTTATTACATTTTATAATGTGTGACTTTTTTTTTAAACCCCTTTCAGTTTGGTTGTAATTTAGTAATGTATTTAGATGGAGAAATTCCATGTAATTTTCTTCTCTTTTTTTCCCCCCCTCTTCTTTTCTGACTGTTCTCAGTAGAGAGCTTGGTAACATTTTGTGCTAATTTCTTTCCTGGAAGTTTGTACCACTGCTTTTAAATATTCTGCTCTCAAAGGGGGGCCTTCTCCATTCCAGATTCAAAATTCCAAGTGTGCTGTTGTATTTTATCCTAATATGTTTGTACATTTGTTTAAAAAAATGTTCAGATCTTTAATCTATCTAGAATTGATTTTGGTATAAAGTATAAGGTAAGGATCTTAATCTACTTTTTCCATATTGTAGGCAGTTGTACTGTACTAATTTCTTACGTATTTGGAAACATTATTTCTCATTCTGTCTCCACTGGTTTGAAATGTCTACTGTATCATAAATCCTTACCTGTATCTCTGTTTCTTTACATTTTAGTTCATTACTGTTTTTAATCGTGCCAAATACATAATGGTGCTTTCCTCTTCTTTCAGTTAGGAAGATATCTTCTTTCTAAACTAACTTCTTATTGTGCTTCCCTGGGTTTGCTGACTCTGTATTATGTTGTTATTCCTGTGTTGCAGGTATAACCATCACACCTGTTTGGTTAGAATTCGATAGGTTTTAGGCATTGGGAAACGGTAGCGCTGGGACCATTACAGAGGTGGAAACTGAGGCTGAGTAATAGTAAGGGATTTGACCAGGCCGCTTAGCCAAATAGTAGGTGGTGAAGCCAGCATCATGTCTATGAGTTCCGAGCACTTTCCTTTTCCATTATCTTGTTGTAATAAACAGTACACACAAACCAAAACATAACGTTTTACAGTCACATCCAAGTTCTGTGATTATATGTTTATAGGAAAGGGCAGAAATGATGAAACAGGGAGATCTTTCAATGATCTTTCATTTAACTGGAGTTAAATGACTTGGTAAAACCTTCCTAGAAGCTGGATCAGCTTGTTTCTCTGAGCAACTGAAACTAGACAGTATCTAATGAGGGGATGTGCAAGTGTGAGCTCTGGGCCAGGAGTCTCTGTATCCGCTAGGATTCCTAGGCTCCACCCCAAAACTTCCGGGTTGGAAACTGTTTTAACAAGCCCTCCGGGGGTGCACGTAGATTTGAAGGTTCGAGAGCCACTGTTTTAGTGACGTCAGTTTATCTGGGTTAACAAGTTTTTCAGAGAATGGCATCTCTTCTCTTTGAGTTAAGATATTTAAAATTTGAAGTTTATTCTTTCTAGAGGTAAAAATATTTCATAGAGTAATGCTTCTTTTTATTTCTCAGTTTCCTTGATATTTCATGAAGATTGTACTGTCGTGACTGAAGTTGGAGCATTATTTTGCCTTCTGTTATTTGATGAGGTATCAAGAATGGATATGTGGTGAGTTATAAGAGTTTTTACTCTTAATTGTCTGATTTTTATACCAATGCATGGAAGTTTCTGACTTAGGAGCTTATGCTTTCCATGGTAGCTGGACATAGTATGATTTTGGGTTTGAGTAAGCAGTAGTAGATAGTATACTGGCTCAAAAAATATCACCCTAAACTTCTATTTTTGAACATTACTAAGAATAATATACTGCAGTAGTTTTTATCATCGATATATTTTTAGTACATAGTTTCAACTTTGTATGTTTTTTCCTTCATATTTAATTTAAAAAACCTTTGGGGAGATGTTTAGGATGGTAATACCTGATTACCACTGACCTGGAGCAGGGTCCGTGGGAGAGAGACGGCCGCCCCGTGCCGGTACCGCGCCCATGTCAGACGAATCATTTGTTGTGTGGACTTGCTAAAGAAGAGTGTGATTGGCTCTTCATAAGCACATCCAGGTAGCAGCACCGCGTTAGAACCATACTGACTGGTAGGACCACGTGTACCTCTTGGTGTGAGCTTCAGTCCAGGAAGTGAAGCCGGTTGTGTGTGTGAGACAGAACAATGGCCTACTCAATTGTTTCTTTCCTTTTTGTGTTTCTCTCGTGAAATAGGTCTGATAATCCTTCTAGTAAACCTTCGTCACCATCAGTCTTCAGCTTGCCTGTTTCAGTTTTTAGAAGGTAAAGAATCTACTTCCTTGATTTTCTGAAAGGCGCTGTTGTGGAAAGGGGAATCACAGTCTGTAATTTGCTGTAGTTTTTATCTAGTATTTCGTTACGTGATGCGGTGCTTTAACGTTCCCTTCACAGTGGTGCTTCTGAGAGTTCAGTAAGTACAGGTCTCTTTCACCAAGGTTTTATTTTGATATTGTCAAGTCTCTAGAAAACTTGAAGGAACCTTTCGGTGAACCCTTGTATTCCTTTCAGCCTAGACTTAGGGTCTCTCAATGTATTTAGTTATTTTTATGTCATCTTTCCCCCCCAAACCTATTTAAAGAACAAGTTTCAGAAATAGTTTTACTTCTGTCTAAATGATTCCAGCATGTACTTCCTTAAATTAAGGACATTATCTTACATAACCACTGTGCCATGAATGGTCACATCTAAAAATTAAAAATAATTCTGTAACATGATCCATATTCTCCAGTTATACCCAAAATATCTTTTATGGACTTTGAGAAATATGGAAGCCTAGAATTAGCCCTCATTTGTGGCTCATCCTTTTGAGTGGCATTCAAGAACTTAAAAGTCTGTAATTATTTTTATACATTTTCCTTAGGTATCATCTGCCAGTACATGCGCTTGGCCACCATGCTGTGAGTCCTTACTCCATGGTTTTGCCGCTGTCTGCTGATTGTTTGGCCCTGAAGCCAGTCTCAGATATGCTGAGAATGGCTTGGAACCTATCATGGTATCATGGGAGTGATAATCTGCTGAAGCAAATGAACTCTGAAACCAAAATCCACGAGTAAGCTGTTCGTGTAGTAGCAAAGTATTCACATTTAACTCATTATAATTAATTATCCTTCCTTTAAGTCAAGTAGGTTTTTTTTTTACTTATTATCTTCTGATTCTGCTTTTTCACTGAAGATTATAATTTTTACTTTGTTTTGAATATTACATGTGTTAATTACTTTTTAAAAATTATCACACAAGGAAATTTAAATTAAAAAAGCATTGTGGTCTTTGCTGTTTTAGAGATTATATAAAGTGTGCTTTGTTAATAGATGTAATTCACTACGAAAAGTGCTCTGGATTACAGTAAAATCTCAGTAGATATGTGTATGAATTTTGTTACCATTATTGTGATGATGATGGTTTTTAAATATCTTAATGTTCTAATCTGTCAGTGCTTTCTTAGTTGGATGAAAATTATATTTCTTCAAGCCAGAAAATGTCAATATAAACACACTAGCATCATCATGACAATGTAAAACTCTAATATTGACAGAAACACATCAGATTTTCTTTTGGCTGTGAGTCACCCTCTAATTAAAAGGAAACAAAGATAAAACAATTTGGGGGAAACAGTTTAAAGTAAAAATAAATGTGAGCTTTTATTTAAATGGCTTTATGTTTCTCTTTTTTTCTTCTTGTTTAGATTTTTAGATACACTGAAGTTATCCACCGAGGACACCCTTACTCTGAGGATGACACACACTGCTAGTGGACTGAAGGACTGTCTCCACTCCATCGTCCAGGCTGCCGCCCACAGGGAGGCGAGGGCTGCTGTCACAAGGATGAGTTTTTATCTTCTGAATGACAGGTTGTCTTTCAAGGATGGCACTGGCCCATGTGGGATTACCCTGAAGTCCTTGTCTTGGCACACCACACTGAACAGGTCAGTGCAGGCTCACAGCTGCCACCTTCAAAGACCTGGACTGAATTGTGTTTGGGTTTGTCGCCACACCTCTGAGCACAAGAGCATGTGTTCTTACTGTTGCTGTCATGAGAGAAATATTTTTTTTAAGAAAGGAGAGCTTCAAGATTTTTATTATCTGTAATACATATCTAATAATAGCAAAAGAGAAAAATTTTAATGTAATTACTGCATTTTGAAATGATTTAAAAATTATTATGATTTTAATAAATATTATAATAATTATGTTTTATATCCTATCATGGGAAATTTCATTTTGTTAGCTCACGAAAGTAAATGGTTAGGGTAAGACCTGGGCAAACAAACGGAATGTTTATTCCTGTCCATGTTTTGAAGGAGCTGAGACATCAGTGATTCGAGTAAAGGTTTATAACCTGCTTCTGGCTCTTTTCTTTTGCTCTTAAGTAAATTATCTCATTTTTCTTTTTACTCTGAATTTCATGAAGTTGACTGCCCTGTGGAGGTCCTTTAGTGAACGCGTTTCACTGGTGGCAGATGGCTGCATTTGAAACAAGAAAGACTGAGAAGCAGCCACTGCCAGCAGTTTTACATTTAAGTCTTCCTGGGACTGCAGTATAAGATGTGTCACTTTCTTTTAAACAGGAAGTGTGCAGTTTTCAAAATGCAAGGTTATATGAGTGTTTAAAATGTGAGTTTTTATTTAGTGTAGTTCTCACAGTTTGGGTACCTAATTCGCCTTTTCCAGTGGTGTGCTGGAGCCAACTCTTACAGCCTTGTCTGAGAGGTGATGGTACAGTTATCTGGATTTCTGCAAGTTAGTTGTTCAACACAACCATTCTCAAAAATTGAATTACATAAACTTACAATTAAATAAATTATATGAAAAATAAAGGCAATAATTATGCAAAATTATCACTCCCTAGTTATTTCACAACCTTCTTACTATTACCTGTTGTTCTCTTGAAGTCATTTGTTTTGATTCTGTCTGTGTTATGGAGATGCTGTATCATGGTGTGCTGCCACGCCTCTCCGCACAACTGTGTGTTAGGTCGGTGGCTTGCAGTCAGCCGTGACAGTCTTTACAGCAAACATAGCAAATCAGCACCCCACTCCTCCTGTCCAAGCCAGCCTTTGCTAGTTTTGCCCTAGCTGTTAAATATTTATCAGCACGCCACTTGAAAGAATTAGAAACCATGATTATTGTCTTCTTTATTGTAGGTTTTTACAAGTGCTTCCTGCTTGCACTGAAGACGAGAAACTTCTGATAGATATCATACATTTTTTAAATAAGTTATTGAAGGAACAAAGGAAATATGTATCCACGGAACTTCTGAACTGGCTGCTAGAATTACTTCTGAGACATGTGAGTGTTGTTAAGGAATTTGAATTTTAGATTTGACAAATGATATATTTATAAAAATCATTAATAATGTATACAGAGATACGGGAAAGTACGGTTTTTATATAGACAGTGTTTAGCAAAGCGGTCTTCGCGTTGTAATGGATGGCTTACGGCAACACACCTTCCTGACGGGATTGTGACTGCATTTAGGTGAAAAGTCTACGGAGTGAATGGGACCTTCAGTCTCGGTGTTTAACAAAACCTGTTCCACATGTGAGCTTTCTGCTGCAAATGTACTTTCAAATGAGGATCTTGGAGTCGAGTTCAAGTAGGAATGTAGAGAGGCAGCGAGCCAAGCCAGATGGAGGCGGTGAGGGGTGTAGTGAGATGAGGTTGGAAAGAATGAATCAAGCTGTGCTCCGGCTTTAATGTGAGTTTGCTGTAGGGTTTACCCTTCCAATCCCTCTACTCTCTGCTTTCTGTAGCCTGCTGTGTTCTGAGAAACCTACCAAGAACCCAGGAAGCTAGCTTGCTCTTTATTGTTGGTCTGTGTATTTTATTTTATTTTTTTGGCAAATACTATATGGATATACTTAACCTAGCAAAGATAAACCTTTTCACGAACAATCATAAAAAAAATTCATTAAAGTTAGAAAAAAGGGCCTAAACTGAAACAAGATAGACTGATGTGACAAATATGTTTCATTATATGTTAATACATTTGAAAATCTCATTTAAAGACATGATTCGCTATAAAAATGCAAGGTGCTAATATAATGTAAATTAGAAATTCTAATTCAGATTACTTTTTAAAGTATTTAGATATTTAACAATACATATATGAACGTATGTATGTAAAGCTTGTTGAGATGTTTATTTTTTTCTGCCTTATTGTAGATGGGTGAAAATCAGGATGGTTTTGTTCAGTTGCATACCCAGCATCTACCATAGTGTCTTGCACACAATGAGCTTTCCGTAAACATTTATTAACTTACTAGCAAGCCTGTGATGTTAAGGAAGCTATGTAGTTAATTGCAATAAACACATGTAACCATAATTCCGTAACATATTAAAATACAGCAGAAATGGAGACTATGGATCATATTACATATGCAAGTATACTTAGGGACTAAATTCCTAGAACTTTGATTGCTGAGTCCATTACAGATTGCAAAGATACATGTAGATATGTGTTTTTTTTTTTTTTTAATAGGTAACTGTTATTTTGAGTGAAATGAAGACCTTTTCACATTTGGGGCCTTTTTGCCTCCTTTTCTGCAAACTGTTCCTTGATGCCCTTGCCAGTTTTGTCCCGTCATTGGGCTTTCAGTCTTCTCACATGCGTATTCTCTCTCTCTCGCCTCCTTTCTTTTTTTGATAACAGAGGAACCCTTTATAAATTAGAGAGATTACATTGTAAACTGACCATAACTCAATAAAATAAAATAAAATAAAATAAAATAAAATAAAATAAAATAAAATAAAATAAAATAAAGAGATTAGCCCTTTGTTTTATGACTTGTAAATGCTTTCCTCTTGTCACTAGCCTTCTGACCTTACTTATAATATTTTGGACTTATTTTTCTATTTTATCTACCCCTTTGTCTCCTAGCTTTTGTTAGTTATGTTATTTCTGCTTTTCATCTTTTACAGTACTTAAATTGTATTTCATGATCGTAATTTCCACATTTAGTCGATGTGTGTGTGTGTGAGTGTGTGTGAAAAACCTTAAATTATCATAGCAGATTTTTTCTTAATAAAATTTATTTTTTTATTTTTCCTTAATAAAATTAATTTTTTTATTTTTCTCTGGCCATTTTCACTTCTTTCAGATTAACTTTATTTTCATTTTGTGAAACTTATGACAGAACATTTGTCCAGTGGGAGGACATTTATATGTGGATTTTATTAGCTTCTGTACATATGGCAAGAAATATCTTAAGCATATTTAAAGAGATGATAAACTGAGAAAAATATTTATAACGCAAATGAGAGACAACATACTAATTTCCTTAAATTACAATATTTGAATCTTTAATAAGATGATTGGACTCCCAGAGTACATAGACTTATTGTTCAATAAAGTTTACTTGTCTGTTACTTTCCCAAGGATGATTTCAAAGTACCATATCTACTTTGATTTTCTCTTATCTACTAATTATTAAAAAAATTAAAGAAGCATTTGGAGGCATTTTTTGCTGAATATTTTTAATAAAGCAAACAGGAAACCCTATTGTCATTATAGTTCTTTCAGCTTTTAGGCAGCTTCAATATGTTAGAGATTAGATATTAAAATATTGTTAAAATAATCTCTATGAAGCTTTTCCTCTGAATAAGTTTTTTGGTACATTAATTTTTGATCTATAAATTTTTTTAACCTCATAATCTTTTTACTCATTTAAAAAAAAGAATAACCTCTAAAACAATCTTTGTTTTTGGTTAAAGTTCTTATACTCTGAGAGTTACGGTTGCTCATAGGGGGCTTTGGTTTTTGAATCTTTTCTTGAATATCTGTGCAATAGTGGAGTGTTTGCATATAAGACTCTAAGTAGTATATAGCAACAGAAAAATCACTGCATATTAAACTATACTTACCTAAATTGTGTAGCTATAACTAGATAGTTAAAAGCTTATTTAAATGACTATGAATTTTGTAGTATGTGTTGAGTGCTGATGTATATTGCATAATTTATTCATAGTTTTGAAATTAAAAAGGAAATGTCTCCAGGACTCTAGGTGGTTGATTATACTGTGATTTCAATGCAGTTTTAGAAAAGATTTTTGGTATAATTAAATTTACCTATTTGACTTTGTATGGTATCAGGGCTGTCTCTGGAAAGCTTTTACTTTGTCTCCTCCTATATTACCATCACTAGTGTTATAAGTAATAATACTTTTAAGGGTGAGCAAAGTGGACTTAAGCGTCCACTATCAGGAGAGTTTACTCTCTAAATATCATGCTACAAGGATTAAATTAGTAAGTGTTATGTAAAGACCAATATTCAGAATATAGGAAGCCTGCAAATAGAAAGTCAAAAAGTGTCTTTTAAAGTTTATCATCTGAAGTGGGTAAAATAAGTGAGAAATGGTTTAAGAAGTTCAGTAAAATAGCATTTCCAGAGAATTGTTTTGAGTGTACGGACATAACATAAAGATATGCAGAAGCTATAGTGGCAAGAACAAAATTAGGCAGAAATAAATCCCTGGTCAAGCAGAAGGATGCTTACAGGATATGTACAGAAAAATCAGCTAACTTACTGAGGGAAGATTTGGGAACTTTTTCTTGTGAAAATTTTGTTTACATCTTTTATCAAAACATTCATTTATTATAAACATTTTATGTACTTAAGGAATTTTTTGTATCACTGTGTTATATTTTAATATATTGATATTTTGTTAATATATAAAATAACCTGAAAGTGCTGAATTTGAGTACATTTCTCTTCAGAATGAGTTTTTGATGAAAGTTCATGAAAATGGGGCCATAATATTTTGTGGTGGAGGCTGTTCAGAACTACACGGTGCATGTCTGTCTGTTGACGGACGTTCACAGGCCCCTGTGCACTCAGAGTCCATGGAAGGCATTGTACACCTTACTGTTGTGGGTTTTTGATGGGTGGAAAATTGGATGAGATGCGTGATAACTGTGTGGGTAAAGTGAATGAGCCGTCACCGCAGAAACCGTTGCTCTTTGGAGATCAGCACTGACGAAGTAACGACCCACGTAGTTGACGTACAATTAGGATTGATACTAATGTATCAAAGACAAAACCTGCAGTAATAATTAAGTACTTGAGATCAGCAGGCATCCGTAGAGGCATCTGTCCCACTCTCTCTTGTCCTTAGGGAATGGTGATACGTCACATGTGTTAGAAGTGGTGTTGCTGGGGTTCGCTGAATCTTAATGTTAACATGTAAGTCCAAGGTATGTCATAAAGGGGAGAAGTCTCTGCAACTTATAAGCGGAAATAAGTTATTAATAGAGTTTCTTTGGAAGAATCTTAGTTTTTAGGTATGTGCATACTGTATCAGTATATTAATATATTAATCTACTTAATTTTTATCTATTTATCAGGATTAATCATTCCTGATGGTAAAATTATGTTTTACCAAGATGAGGTTTGCATTAAAAGCAGCTTGCTCATTTTGTCGGCTTTTATGGGAATTGCAGGGATTGTGGGTGGAAGTCAGTCTTTGGTTATTTGGGGCTAAGAATACTATAGAATATTATTTTTATGATTTTATTAAATGTGTATCTTGATTGTTTTATTCATGAACCTTAGAACTTGTTATGGTTTATGTAATTTTACTTGATTGAAATGAGTCACTTCTTGTTTAAGACGAAAGGAAGAGCTGGGGGAAAAAATGCTGCTTAGGTGTGAAAGATAGTGGAGTAAGTTAAAGGCAAAACATCTCTCCTCAGTGCTTTTCAGAAGCTCTCAGTTAGATTATTTATAATCGTGTGTACCTGATTGAAATATACTCTGCATACTATGTAATATAAACAACTTGGAATTTTCTTCCCACTTAAAAATTTTCTTATCCTTAAAGAGAATGCAGTTATCTTTGAATTGAGTTCTTTAGGTGAAGAATTTCATGACAGTAGTAATTACAGTTTGATTTTTATCCTTTTTGTTTGTGTTATTATTTTTTATTTTTATTTATTATTGTATTATTTTATTTGGGGGGAGGTAATTAGGTTTATTTATTTCTGGAGGAGATACTGGGGATTGAACCCAGGACCTCATGCATGCTAAGCATGCGCTCTACCACTTGAGCTATACCCTCCTCCGTTTGTTTGTGTTAATGTGCACTGTTGATGTGACATACTACTGGGGATGGAACGTTAACTAGCTCTGAAGTAAGACCGTTCTGAGGTTGAAGATTTGCTCTACTCATTCATATGACTTTGGACGAGTTACTTACTCTCTTTATGAACCTCTGTTTGCCCATCTGTCAAATATGAAAATGCAGAGTCTCCTAGTTTAACCCCAAAGTTAAATGAAATCTTTTCTTTTTTTCTTAGCCCAGTGCCTGTGACATTATAGAGGATTAATAAATGTTCCATCTATCTTTAATGCTGTTGGTTAATGTAAAATTTTCTACTCTTCCAGTATTATTAGAAATAATCTTATATTTCTTTAGCTACATTTTTTAAGGTAGAAAACAGGATAAAATTTAAGTAATATTAGTTTTATTTGTCTATCAGCCTATCGAATTGCCAAGATTACAATAGAAATAATGCTCAACATCGACTTGAATGCTGTGGGCCTTCCCACACTGTGTTTAGTCACATGTATTGGTACACTTTTTGCAGGGACAATTTGTACATGTACTTCGAAAGCACTGAAACTATTATAATGTTTTGATTTAGTGATTTCATTGCTTTGAATTCATGCATAGGATACAATCAGAGTTGAGCACACTGCTGCAGCTCAGGGAATTTAGAAATCACTGATTATCCAGTAGTTGGGGTAAATCCTTATGGTTGAATAACAATCAGATACTAAAATAATGTTTTTGAAGAAATAGTGATGATAACATTAAGTAAAAAAATGGTCGCAGTAGTGGATTTCTCCAGTTTTGTTAAAAACACAGAGTTATAATTCTGTTTGTAGTCACACACACACACACACACACACACACACACACACAGTATGTGCCAAGACAGTAATAACAGCTCTCTCTGGGAGGTGTGATCCTAGGCGATTTCTGTTTTTCTCCTTATGCTTCTCTCTATTTTCCTCCGTTTTCTATAATGGATATGCTTTCCTTTTGTTGCGCTAACATGGGAAGCACCTTTTGAGTTTAGAGCACCTCCACCAGTGCAGGGGAGACCCACACCTCCTAGTGAGGTGATGCACCTCTTAGTTACTCCAGGACATGATTAGCAACGAAAACCTTTATGGGAAACAGCATATGGCTCAATTAGAGAGTAAATCCATGTTTTACAAATTTCATCTTTTAGAGTCCAAACCCACTGTTTGACCTGCTGGTTCTAACGGAGTCGCAGTCGCGAGAGGAAGCGGATGCCATCCGCACCGCTGTCCGGCAGCAGCTCCAGAAAGAGCTGATGGCTCTTTTCAATACCTTGCTGCTCAGTTTCGGGGCAGTTGCTGACAGGTACCGTCTGTATCATCAGAGGTTTGGGAATGTTTGTACCGAATCTAGTTTTCTTTTGATTTCCAAAGAGTCTTACTTTCTACTTGTTTCAAATTAAAAGGAGGAAGGACTTCAGTAAAAATCAGTTGTGGTGGTCTGTTTGTTTTTGTGTCAGTGGAATTTCTGAGGTAGCCTGATTGCAATTTCATACACACACACACACACACACACACACACAGTATTTTGTTGTCTCTAGGTTTTAGTTCTTGGTTCTCTCTCTTAATTTTCTATATATTTACCTGAGCAGTCATACCCATTTCTGTGACTTTACAACTGTTTTTGCTTTGATGATTTTCAAATGTATATCAGGAAATCTGACTTAAAAATTTTTTTAATTAGATAAAGTTCACAAATTAGATAAATTTTAGCCATTGTAAAGTGTACAATTGAGTGGATTTTGGTATATTTACAATATATAGGTTGTGCCACTGTTACTACTTAATTCCAGACATTTTCATTGCCCCAAAGAGAAACTTTGTATCCATTAAGCAGTCCCTCCCCATTCAGCCCTTACTCAAGCCCCTGGCAGCCACTAATCTTTCTGTTTCTATGAATTTGCATATTCTGGACACTTTATATAAATGGAATCAAACAATATGTGACCTTTCGTGTCTGGCTTCTTTCATTTAACATCATGTTTTCAAGGTCCATCCATGCTGTAGCAGATATCAGTGGAGACTACAGGAAAGAACTAAATACAAATTATATACACGAGAAATACAATTCCTAAAGCAAAGAATTCATTGCATGGGCTTAACAGCAGACTAGACACTGTTGAAGAGAGGATTAGTCAATTCAGACTACAAGTCAGTAGGAGTTTCACTGGAGAGGGATGCCTTGGAACCTCTAAGGTGCTGAGAATGTTTTGTACATTGTTATGCCTGATGGTTACATGATGATACATGTGTGTGAACCACCCCGTGGTGTATACCTAAGATTTGTGAATTTTGCTGTGTGCGGTTATTCATGCCTCAGTAGAGTGCTGAAGACAAGAACAAAGCCAGTCCAAGGACAGCAGAGTCTGGGCAGCTGGACCTAGAATGTATATAAGAATTTCCCGGGTGGGAATTTCCTTGTACAAATATTAACATCAGGAGCTCAAGAATCTACATAGTAAACCAGCACCACAGGTGGTCCTTGGACTGGACTTTGAGAAACGGTGGTCTTTCACTGTTCTCTGTGTGAATTTTGATGTTAAGGAGAGGAGTGTGGAGACACTTCCTTTTATGAGTAGGTCAAGGGCAGATTAGGAAATTAACATCTTTAGAAATCATATACTTATATCCCTACACCTCTGTGATGGAATAGGTAATAATACCATTAATAGTCTCAGTTTTGGAATCTAAAGATCTGTAAAACTAAAGAAATTTCAGATTTTATTCAGTATGTTGTTATACAGTGATATTTTCCTTCCAGGAATTAGACCTTTGGATCCATGCTTGGCCACTTAATTTTAGGAATTTTGTTTTCTAGTAGAAGATGTTGTCTTAATTGTTCTGTTTCTGATAGTTTTGTTTAAGTTATGTGTGAAAACGTATTAAAAGCTTTTCCTTTTATTTTAGCTTTCTGAGGAAAAAAAGCAATACATTTTAGTTGATTAAAAATTCAATTTTTTACTGATACTGAATGATCGAAAGTATAGTTTTAATGTATGCATTTACTTTTCCATCCCAGCTTTGTTTCATTACCAGGTGGCAATAGCAGTATCTGTTTATGCATTTCTCAGTGTAATTGTTGCTTGTCTTTCACACCACATACTCTAGGTGGCACAGTAGTTGCGTTAGCCTTGGAAAGTCTTGTTTTGAGAGGAGACGTTTTCTGCCATTTCCACCAGATCACACATTTCTGATAGAGTAGGTTGCTAGTAACCTTCCGTCACCAGTCAGAAAGCCCAGTGAGCCCAGTAGACTTGTTCTGTGGTTGATTTTCCTCTCCTTTATGCACGCAGGAAATGCCTGGAACTCTTTTACGTTTTCCAAACGCAGCTGGCTCTGAAACTGCTCCAGTGCCTGAGAGTCACGGATGCGCCTCATTTCTACGGCCTGCCGTCCCTCGAGAGGACCTTACGAGGGATGGCCCACCTCACAGCATTTCCAGGATGGAGCTCACACTCTCCTCTTACAAAGCCCCTCGAGATCTGTGTGAAGTACTTATCGGGTCTCCTCGAAGTAAGTAAAAATAACCAGCGACTGTAACAGCAATAGCAAACTTGCCAATAATAGCTATTTACTGTTGTTGATCACTCAGGGTGTGCCAGGCACGACGTTAGGTGCACTGAATGTATTACTGTATTTAATGTAGATCATTACTCCGTTTTTGGCTCATCAGAATGAGTGTTCTCACAAGGATAAATGTACAAATGATATTTATTAGCAAATGTGCAAGTAGAATCACTTCTATGAATATACTTATTTGCTACAAAAGTAAGGCTTACATTTAATCAAGCCCCTTCGTTAGGGTAACTTTTTTGTATATATTGCTTAACACTTTTATTTGTGAAATAGAACACATATGTGGAAAATACACAAAACATAAATATATAGCTATCATTTATCACATAATGGACACCCAGGTAGCCAGCACCTAGGAGCTTTGCCATACCCCTTCCAGTCTCCTCCTCCCCTGAAAGGTAGTTGTTATTTTGATTTTTATGGTAATCTCTTCTTTGCATAGTTTTGCCACTTAACTATGTGTCCATATATACAATAATCCCTGATTCTTTCAGTTTTGTTAAATGAAATCATATGTCTGGCTGCTTTCTTTCTAATGTTATGCTTGTAAGAGTTGCTCACTTTGTTTCCTGTAGGTGGAGTTAGTTTAACTTCATTTTTGTATAGTATTCTCTCTACTACAGTGTTGAAGGACATGTAGCTTCTCTTTTTCTTCCAGTTTAGAACAGTTTTGGATACTGCTGCTATGAACATTCTTGTTCCGTGTTAAAAATTAGTATATCTTTTTAAAAAAATTTTTTTCTAACTATTCTTGATATTTGGAAATGTATTCTGTTTTTATATGTTAATCATGTACCCAGCGATCCTTGTTTCCAAACTCAGAGGAACAGCCTTTCATGTTTCATCTTTTAGAAGCTGTTTATGGCAGTTTTTTCAATTAATTAAAGAAAAGTGAGAATAAGGACCTTTTCTTCTAGTATTACTTTGCTAAGATTTTTAAAAATCATAAATAAGTTTTTCTGAACCTTTTAAGACAATCTTTTTTTTTCTTCTGTATTCTATTAAGGTAGTGGATTATTTTTGTTTATTTAAAAAGTGTTAAGCAAACTTACATTTCTGGAAAAGTTTCAACTCGTTTGTGATGGATTATTCTTTTTATATATAGACAGATTTAGTTTGTTAACACTTGGAATTATTCTACCTATTTTCATGGGGAAAATGTTTTTAGAATTATTCCATCTATCTTCTTTCTCATAAAACTTTTGTCAGGTTTTAATATCAAAAGAAGTCCATACTTCCATGTATATAATTTTCTCTTTTTCTTTATTATAACTGTCTCTTTTTTTCTTCCTTGGAATAGTTGATTTGAATTGGTATTATTTTTTTCCTCAAATGTTAATTAGAATTTGTTGGTAAAGCAATCTGAGACTGGAATTTTCTTTTGGGGAAGATTATAGATGAATTGAATTTTTAAAGTAGATCTGGAATGACTCAGGTTTCCTATTTTTTTTGTGGTCAGTCTTACTTAGCAAGCTGTGTTTCATTGGAATTTTATCTGAATTTTCAAATTCACTGCCCTAAAATTTTTCATCAGATCATCTTATTTTTTTAATATCTGTCAGGTCTGTAGTGAGGTCCCATTTCATTCCAGACATTAATTACTCCTCCTCCTCAGCTTTCTACACTGGTCTTACTACTGGTTTGTGTATTTCATTAGTCTTTTCAAAGAATGAACCTTTGTCTTTGTTGATCCCCTCTTTAATATTTTTCCCTTTTTTATTAATTTCTGTTTAAATTTATTTCCTTCATATTTTGGTATAATTTATGACTCTTTTTCTACTAAAATTTTTAAGGTAGAGAGTCTTCATTGATTTTTTTTTCTTTTCTCAAAAATGTATTTTTAGTTCTAATTACCTTCTAAGCATGACCTTAACTTTATTCTACGCATTCTGATCTGGCATGTTTTCGTCATCACTGAGTCCAACGTATTGTCAGAACGCACAGTGAGCATGACAAGGACGTGTTTCTGTAAGAGGACAGCTTCGCCGTGGTGCCCTGGCCGCCTTGAGTGTGTGCACGTGGGCCACGTCCGCTGGGCTAGCTGCGGCTGGTCTGAGCTTTGCCAGAGCTTCCTGTAATCCTTCCGGAGCGCGAGAGACTTGTAAGGGTCGTTCTCTTCACTCTCTCAGGAAGTCTGTCACGGGCCTGTTTTTGGCCTCCTGGGTTCTGACGAGCAGGCTTGCTGCCTCGCTGCCCTCGGGGTGCGGCAGCGGGCCGTGCAGGGTCTAGCTGCAGCCTGGCGTGGCCTCGGCCAGAGTGCTCTGTGCCGCCCCGCTGTTTGCTGGCCGCTTTGCTTCACTGCCACCCTGTGAAAGGGACGCTGGGAATTGACGCCTTTGCGTGCTTTTGCTTATGCTTTTTATGAAAGTAGTAAGCTGTCTGAGTCCAAAAATGACGCATCATCTCCTTGGTGACCGGCTCTGTCTGCGTTGCTTGCCTTGAAGCCAGAGGTTGGCGTCTTTAACAGCGTTAGGAATTGAGGAAAGGCTCCTGGAGGAGGCCGTGTAGAGAGAGGTTTTGGAAGATGAATAAACTGGTCAGAAGTGATGGGTGCTCTAGACGTGGAATGTATTGACCAAATCATCTATAACTTCCTATTCCTTCTCATGCTGCACGTTCCTACTTGCCCCGCGTCTCTGCCCACCACCAGATCATCCTTCAAAACAGAAACCTTTCAATCCAGATCTCCATTTTCAAGTGCTTAAGGCTCTCTATAATCTTTCATTTTGAGTCTTATCTCCATTTTTGTCTTTTTTCCCACATCTCTTGAAGTTTCCGTTATATTTGACTCTTCTCATTAAATAAAAAAAGCATAATTAAAAAGTCTGTTTCTTTCACACAGTTCTTCTCTTTTTGGGTGGCAGTGTCTGCACAGAGTTTTAGATCTCATATTCATTTACCTTCCTGTAGGAAGCCTTCTCCTATTCTTCCAGTCATCCAGCAAATATTATTTGACTGACTGGTCTCTTCTACAGGTTATGTGCCTACAGCAGTTCATATATGCCACTATTATGGTGCTTAATATTTTGTCTTTTTATCTTGTTTTATGCTTTGATCTATTATACTGTAAGCTTTTAAGAATTATCTTTGGACCATTTCTACTATCCCACAGCTCCCCATTAGTCTAGCACAGTGATTTGTACATGGTGGACAAATAATGAATAATTTAATTTATTTGTATCTTACATATGATTTTTAAATTAGAATAAAGTTTGAATAACATTGGAAGTGTGACGTAAATAAAAGTAAGTGATGTGTGTTTAATTTTTGTATTTTCATTATTAAATAATGCTTTAAGTGATGCTGGTGTATACAGCTGTAAGTCATGCTTCAGATGATCTCATCTAGGATTTGTTTCCAAAGTGCTTTTTTTTTGTTTTTTAAAAAAGGCTTCAAAATCCCAAATACAGTCAGCTGTACTATAAAATTTAATATAAATTTTAGTGAAGCCACTTTAATGAAATATTTTTTATCTTGTATAATTATAAATACTGAAAAAGGGCAGACTGCCAATATATTAATTATCTCATACTTCAAGGGGTCCATGATCAGAAATGTATGAATTTTTAGAACAGATATATTATCTAAAGACTTAAACCATAATGTTTTTTAAAAAGACAGCTCCTCCAGTGCATTTAAAATAATTCAGTCCACAAGTATCTAATTTATAGCATTATTTATAACGTGACTTATAAATACTCCATTTATAAATCTTGTGGAATACATCTCCTCTATAAAGTGATGTTTGTTTCAGACCAGGGATACGTGAGGACCTACTACAGCTGTAGTTGAAGTTAAGTGTTAGATTGTTTCTGTTCAGAAACCATCAGAAGTACTTCTGTTTGTAAAATTGCGTTAAGAGAAGAGACATCAGATCACAGCTGTGTTTCAAATACCTGAAATTAAAATGAGCTTTCTGTGTTATTGGAGAACAAAGGGGATTAGTTTTAGGTAAGAAGTCTAGGCAAAATGGCAATAATGTCATTCTAAGCTCAGTTGTCTTTGAGGTAATAAAAATCAGTTTATTAGCTAAGGAATCGATAAAAAGTATGATTCTTGTTTTATACTACTTCACAGTTATGAAAACCTGATTAACGAATCTTGATTTGGTATAAACAGAGGAATGCATTTATGCTTCATACAACGTTTTGGGAAGAAAATCTTTTTATTTTTACATTAAATGACAGGAAAATAATATGGAAAATTCTGTCACTTTTGTTAGAAATTGTGACAGTCATATTTAATCTTATTTGGGTCCTTCTGCTTAGTTACTTAATTAGCTAACAGATTTTTTAATTTTACTACTGACTAAGTTGATCTTTCATATAAAAGTCATGTTTATGTGAATGCACACTGAATTGTCAGTCCAAATGATTTGCTTCCTAGTTTCTCACTAATAAAAGCTGAGTCCTTTTCAGGTGGGAGCTGTAATTTATCATCAGATATTTTGTTTCTGCACAGTGAAATTTGAATTTGAGTATTTACTTTTTCTGATTGAGAAATGAGACTCAGACTAAGTGTGATTCATTATGATAGGTGAATAAACTATGATAATTAAATCCTTAAAAATTATACATGAAGTATAATTCCAGGGACCTGACATAAAGTCAAGTTGAAAGGAGACAATATCCAGGTCCTTGGCTTGTCCCATGTGAGCTAGAACTGAAACCATGACAAAATAGCTGGCTCCAGTGACTTTAGGCAGATAGTAAGGACTTGATCATTCAGGTATCTTAACTTCTAAGACAGTCCCTTAAAGCTTTAAATTTTTAATTATGGAAAGTCTTAAACACATGCATACGCAGAAAGAACAGGAGATCAGAGCCCACGGAGCTGTCACCTGCAGTTTTTAACCCCTGGCCAATCTTGTTTCATTTTCAGACATACTATGCAATTATTTGGTTTGTGAAAATTCTAATTTAAGTCAAAATCTCTAAGTTATCTATGAATAAATTGTTTTCATTAAATAAGCCTAACGTGATTCATATTTGTGCTGTCATTTTTTTTAAACTAATCTGCTTGCTGCATGAGCTGAAAAGAATCCGAACTAAAAACTAGTCTCTGTTATGAGACAAAATGGCTTACATTAAAGGATTCTGTGCTGAATTAAAGCACTCAGAGCCCTTGGGTGGATGAATTAAAATACTTTCTGCTACATTAGATAACAAGCAGTTTTGATTGCTTTGACCCACAAGTTTTTCCTTCATAATATATTGGCATCTAAATATGGTTAACACTTTTATTGATCAAAATTTTGTGAATTATGAAATGATCTTTTGTCACTTTGAATTTTCTTGAGTTGAAAGCTATGAAGATCCTTGTTACTCAGTGTCAAGAAATACACGTTGAACCCCTGTGTGGGGGACAGTCTAGATTTACACAGAAGTGTTCTAAAAGAGTTTGTCACATGTTTTGAATGATTTTCTAAATCAAGTGGAAGGACTTTCCTCAAATTGCTGCTGTCTAACCCCCCATGTGCTTTCTGATTCAGCTGCTCAGGTAAGGGTGTATCCCTTCAGATAAGAAGCATCTCTTTTGCTGTTACTGATGGAAATCTGTTATGTGGGAGAGAAAAAGTTGACAGTCAATGATTTAAATAATAAATACATACTTACGCATGGAATAGAAATCTAAGATCGCTTAGAAGTGGAGAAAATGTCCACTTACATTTAAACCATAATTCTAGGAAATCTAGCCTAACTCTGGTAGTGAGAGTTTTATATAGCTAGCAATTTCTAAGTGTGCTTTTCAACAAGATATTTATAAACTCTTTTACTTAAAGGTACTATAACATTTGAAAAATGTTAATGAGCATATTTTTAAATCACACAATCTCCTAGGAGGATACTACCTATTTTTTATATAAGTACTAAAGGGACAAGAATTTAAACTAAAAATATTTGTTTTAATTGCGGTGAAATACACGCAACATAAAACGTGTCTTATTGACCATTTTTAAATGTATAAAATGTAAGAATATTATTATATACCTTATGTGGTTTTGGACTCAATCAATTCAGACAAGTCAGTAGAAAATTACGTATTTATCCACTAAGAGTAAATCCGCCACAGAATTGTCTGTGCTTGTTTTTCAGGTCATTACTTCTTTTTATGTGGAGCGTGGAGGAAACGCCATGTCCTTCATGGGAAAAGGTGTCACAAAGAGCACGGTCCTTTGCTTGCTTCACTTGTCCCACGAGATGATGGCGCAGGCCCAGAGCTCGGTGAGAGCACGCAGAGCTGCCTGTGTTCCCAGCAGCTGCCAGGAAAGGAATGTGCTGTGTCCATATGTTTCAAGCGTATAGGTTTACTCTAGGAGCATGTCTCTTACTGACTTCTCTTTTTAGGAAGCAAAACTGATTTTTGACTAAGATGTTTCTTAGAAGCTATATAATACTCAGATCTGAATTTTATTTGAAATTTATTTTGATTGAAATCTGCATGCACTGGAGGACTACATGTCTAAACCATGGGGAAAATAGCTGTTCTGAAGAAAAATTTTTATGTATAACTTTTTATGGAGGAGCTGAGATTTTTGTTTGCCTTGTGTTGGCTAAATAATCAATTGAAACCAAGTCTTCAGCATATTTTTACTTTGTTTTGATTTTTTAAAATTCAGCTATTTTAAACTCTCTCTCTTTTATTCTTAGAAACTCACCTAACATGTTTCTATGCCCTTTTTTTCATTCTAGGAGTGGATGTCACTTTGGTTCTTGCCTCTGGGTAGTCAGGGCGAGGAACATGCCCCCACCCAGCAAGGCCTGGCATGGTTGATTCCGTTGTGGGTTGACCGAGACCCAGAGGTCAGTGTGCAGCACAGTGGAGCCCACTGTGTGTAGGGTGAAGAACAAACGACATAAGTGCATATACACATTTAGATTTTCCAGAATGAGATTATTATGTTGACTAGACCTTAAGCTTTATTTACTGAGTCTTAGTCAGCTTGGGCTGCATAATAAACACCATGGACTGGATGGCTTGAACAAGGAAATTAATTTCCTCAGGCTTCTGCAGGCTGGAAGTCGGGGGTGAAGGTGTCAGCATGCTCAGGCTTGGTGAGGACTCTGTCTGGCTGTCAGATGGCTCCCTGTTCACCATGTGCTCATATGACCTTTCCTCTCTTCCTCTTCTGATGAGGTCACCAGTCCTATCAGATTAGGACCCCACCCTTATGACCTCATTTACCCTTAATTATCTCCTAAAAGCCCTGTCCTCAAACACAGTCACATTAGGGGTTAGGGCTTTAACCTGTGAATTTCGGGGGTATACATTTCAGCTCGTAGCACCCCCTATTCAGTCAGATTCAGAATACAGATTACAAATAGTAAGAAATGACGTATTATACAATTGGTCACTTTCAGAACAGTGAAGAAATACTGGAGAAGCCCAGCCATTTCTCACATAGCTTAGAAGGATAGTGACCAAGTGACACTTAACAGAATAGTACCATTGCAGCACAATGTTTTGTATTATTAATGAGTTTTCCAGTTTTAGCCATTTGTCCCCTGATTTTATTTTTTGAATCACCTTATTGAGGTATGATTGACATATAAAAAGCTGTACACATTTAACTTGTACAGCTTCATGAATTTGGAGATAAGTATACACCCTTGAAATACGCGTCACCAGAATCAGTGCCATAAACATACCCTTCACCTGCCAAAGTTTCCTCCTGTCCTCCTTACTGTTTGTTTTTGTAATTAGAACATTTGACGTAAGATTTGCCCTCTCAGCAAATTTTTAAGTATCTAATACAGTACTGTTAACAGCCTAGAGGTACATTCTTTAACCACATTGAACTTGGACTTACTGCTTGACTGTGCTATGACTGCATTGCTTTTTGTTACTCTGAGTTATCAGTGAAACTCTGTTTTGAAATCAGAATTTAGAAGTTCACCAAAATATGTAGCTTGAGCAACAAGGGTATTGGCAAACACATTAAACCAGATCAATCTTATTTGAAACTTTTTTTTTAAAGTAATTTTGGGAAAATACTAAGTGCCTTATAGAAAGATAATTCAGTTATTTCTCTTTGAAAAGAAGTTTCAAAGAAGTTAAAACCGTTTGGAAGAAACACTGAAAATTTAAGGAAGGTAGAACAAAATACTAGGTGTCCTCTTAAAAATGAGACATAAATAAGCATCATGTTCATAAAAGACATGTAAGCACCCAATGCTTTCCCTAGAAAAAGGCTTTTGAACTGTAATTCTTATTCTTCTTTATACCTGGTTTTGACTTTTTGTGACATTTGCTTTTCTTTAACTTTTGTTACCTATATTATTTCTTAAATCATGGAACAGGATTTTTACTCATTCATGAACTTAAAGAACAGTTTTCTTTAAGTGCCTTTTATGATTAAGGATTGTCAAGACAGTGTCATAAAAGTATGATATTTTGTGTACCAGAAGAGAAAGAATTCATGTTGTGAAGTCAGGTTCTTTGGCTTGAACAGGTGAGGTTCACTTCGCTGGGATTGGGATCAGCACTGACCACCCTTGCAGCTGGCTGTGTGGCCCTGGCCAGCAGTTGTCAGAACATCTCTGGTGGACTCTGGGGGACGGTGGTGAGCATTCTCCTGGACCAGTCGGAATGCAGCATGGTGCGCCGGGAGGTAGGCCTGTCTGTCTGGTTCCTCCTCCCTGTTCCCCTCGGCCGTCTGCCGTGACGATCCCTGTAAACCGCACGCCCTCTTCAGCTCGGTGGGCTGACCACTCACCATCATTTCTTCTTCCTGCGAAAAACGCGCATGAAATGATAGTAAAGGACAAAATGGTATCGATTCACTTAGTAAAAGTAGGAGTCCTTCACCCTGATAAGGTCAAAGCAGAATTTGGTGTATTTTATTAGGAACTCTTCTGTTTTATTACACACTGAAAAGTAGTGCAAAAGAAGAAAAATTACTTTTATATTATCTCAGTGTTTAAGTTTATAAAGCTTTACGTAAGGGACTGTCAAAATACCCTGTAGTATTTATTATATAACATATAGGAGGAAGAGTAAATGCTGTTTTAATTCTTTCTAAATGGTTTGTGGTTCTCTTTATTGCTGCTTTTATCAAAGTAATGATTGATGCAGACAGTTTTAAGAACTGTAATCAAATAGTGCTTAGAGGCTTGTAAAGAAAACAGCAGCTCCTGGGCCCATAATTAGCCAGTTTCCAGTTCTAAAATCCAAAGGCTGCAGTTTTCTTATTATTTGTTTTTTAATAGTAATGCTTAAACTTGTAGCTTCCTCTTGGTTTACTAACTTTAAAGATGACCTGTTGACTTCCAGTTAAGATGACTGAAAAACGTCACTCCCTCTGGATCTCCTCTGTTACTTGAGTTATTCTCTCATTGTATCGTTATCTATCACTAAGTAGATAATCAGTGTTCACATTAGTATGATGATTTAATTTGACCACCTTCAGGACAGACCTAGGTATGTAAGTTGGACATTCATGGTTCATATTTCTAGTTAGCAATTTTTTATTGAGAGGAGCTTGTATGAGAAAGCAAGAGAAGGGGAGAGAGGCATGTGTATGATCTGTTAAGAGGATAATAGAAACCAAAATATTTTTTTTAAATGCTACCAGAATGGTTTGTTTTACAGGTCATTTTTTGGAAAAACAAAATTCTGAAATAGGAAACAAATATATTTCCTGATGAAGTGGTTTCCCCCTCTACTGTGTCGTCATCTAACAGGAAGGGCAGCTGGGGTGTTCTCATCATGGTCTCAGTGCGTGCAGTTGCCCAGGGATATGTCTTTTTGTTATGAAATGACAATATATTGGTTATTTCAGAGACGACAACAAGATGGCAGTGTTGACATTTTTTTCCTTTAATTTCAGGCTGCATTTATTCTTCAGAATCTCCTTGTAATTCCAATGCCCTCAGTAATTATAAAGGATTATACTTGGCAGGTAGGTGACTTTAAACAATGATCAACCCAGTAAGTGTTTGAGATTAATCAGTGATAAATTTTCAGCATATGTATGTGTATATATTTCATTACCCGTGGAACTTTATACAAGCCAACAGGATCTCTTAAAAGAGAATGTAGAAGTTTCTTATGCTTGGTCAGATCTACAGATTCTTCTCTGTGGTGTTAAAAATAATTTTAAACAGAAATAATAATTGCTAACATGGTGTTTACTATGTACTAGGCACCCTTAGAAGCATAACAAACATCAACTTGTGTAATGGTTTGAGTTGTGAACCCGTATTATCCACATCGTCTAGATTAAGAAAATATAGCACAGTGGGTTTAAGTCGTTTGCCCTAAATCACATCCTTCTGCTCTGAAACTTTGGGAAAATTTCTTTGCCACTAACTATACTATCTCTTTAATTTAATAATAAGTAAATATGTTTATATGTAAATATGCATGATGTTAACATCTTTTTTTATGGATTAGTGCACAGTTAGTGTCATAATTTATCTTGCTTTGATTTCTTTTGGATTAATTTTTTATTTTATGTTCTGAGTATCAAGTCAGTAAGTAGTTTTCCCTAACTTTTTTGTAGCCTACTGCTTTTTAGATAATTTGGAGTTTAGAAAAGTGCTCTCTGTGGGGAGATAAGGTTTGCTCCTTTTCCACCCCATTCCTTATCTGTGTGTCCTGTCCTGTATGTGTATACTTACCACACTGTTGCATCTCACCCTCCAGGATCCTGGTCAAATCTAAAGTCTCCTTTGAAGTTTTCAGTAGAACACGTCTTTGGGGGAATTACTGTGTCTGGTTGAGCTGCAGGGAGGGCAGCTTTTCGGGCCGTCACCTGAAGCATGAGTCCAGGTGGCGTTAAGGCCTAGGTCTCCTTCACTCTTGGAAGGTTCACTTCTGCAAACTTGACAAACCCAAGTTCACTCTGGCAATTACTGTAAATCCCACGCTGCTTTTCTACTGGCTCCTCTAATTTGTTTAACATGCCTTCTGATAATGATTGTTATTCACAGTCTGTGTTGTAATAAAACCAGAGGAGGCAAACTAGAAAGAATACACAGGATTAATATTTATATTAACAGTCTAGTGGTTTTGATGCCTGTTATCCAGTAACTAGATTTTAAAACAGGTGCTGTTTTTGGCTTAAATGCAAATAATCTCTACTCCTATTGTTAAACTGGCGACACCTGTATACTGTAACCTTGGTGATGTACTGCCAGTGAATTCTTTATTATTGAAGTAAGTATAATAATATAAGGGCAAGAGTAATAAGATTTCTGGGTTCTATTACAGATCTTGGGACATGATAATACAGAACCATGTGGAGAAGTTGATTTTTTCTAACAAGTTAAATAGTATACAGTTCCTTTTTGCTACTGGTGACATGCTCAGTACAGCTTTCTGGTTTTGTGACTCTCCAGTTCTCCATCACAGAATTAATTTTCTACTAAAAAGTTGAAAACAGTGGTTTAAGTGTGCTTTTGGAGTCTTACGCTTTGCCTGTATTGGCCAGAGTCAAAAATATTTGAGAGCTACTCTAATCCAAGATAGTACTTGATGATGGAACTTCTGTTAGTCTTAAGCAAAACTGGAAAAATAAATAAGTCTAATTGTTCTGTGCTTTTTAAATAAACTCACATTTTCTTCCTCTCTCTTTCTTTTAATATGTTTTTGGTTATTATTTTTGTTTTTAAGTGTCCTAACTTAGCAGTAAAAGTAGTTGGTAATCTAGTATTTGTTCCCCAATCTTTAAAAAGCTTAGCGATACTTTAAATCCCAGAGTGGAAACAGCTGCTCTAGTAAAGGCACATGGTAGCCTTCAGATATAGTTGGTGGAATTTTATAATCTCTAAGAAGCTGTGACATTTGTCAGTTTACTACAGCCGGAAAAAAGGTGCTACTTTTCCAGTATTTTAAAATTAAAACTGTCATTGGTAAAATGATAAGTAATAATCTTACTCAACAAAATGTTTCATTTACTTGGTGCGTATTTCTCAGTGTTTTGGAGGATACAGCATGGAGGAAGCAGCACTGGTATCTAGAAGCTTTGTAAATATTCTGTTTTGGATGAGTTGATATTTGATTAATTATGTTTTACAAGGAGGATTGCTTTTCCTGCTTTGCGTGTTGTTTTGATGCCTGACGTCTGGATCGACGCCCTCTGTACTCTTGCTCACAGGGCGTTGTGCAGTGCCCCCTTTATGACTGTCACCCCTTTCTCAGTTTCCCCCCACACACCCGGCATACACTGCGATTTCATGTCGTTATTGGAGTTGTACCTCTCCGTGGTAGTAATCTG